TGCCTACAACAACTCGCGTACTCAGGTGTGGCCTATATTCTCCTGCATAATTTCCCCCTTTCTCGGTCAGCCTTTCGTCGTTGGAATATACTGTGGTAAGCAAAAACCCAATGGTGCTAAGCAGCTGATGTCTGACACGGTCGCTGATTTGAAAGACGTCCCGGCGGACGGTGTCTCCCGAGTATAAAATACTCATGCCGTCCGTCTTCAGTGCATTATTTGCGACAGTCCTGCTGGGGCCTTTCTGAAGCAAGTGAAGGACAATACAGGATATTATGGCTGTGATTATTGCACACGAAAGGTTGTGCACATTGGCACGCGTATGACTTTTCCCTCGTTGACATCTCCCTTGCGTCGTGGCTATGATTTCCGAACCAGAAAGCAAGAGAAGCACCATACTGGTCCAAGTCCGATGGAGGGGTTAAATTTTCCCATGATTGACGGTTTCCCACCAGGTTACATGCATAGTGTGTGTCTTGGTTTAGTGCGGAAATTTCTCATCTTACTCAGAGCTGGGCCAATTGGACACAAGGACAGGCTTTCTTTGGAGTCCTGAAATCTGCAGAATGATAACATTGAGCAACAGAGTTTGGCTCTGAGTGCTGATGTCCCCCGAAAATGTCGCGGTGTCATCGACCTGGATCGGTGGAAGGCATCTGAGCCACGACGGTTTCTTTTGTACATAGGACCCAGTGTTTTACGGGATATCTTACATCCTGACGTTTACGAATATTTCATGTATTTTTCGGTAACCAATTTCAGAGGCTGTTAACCTTTTTCCACAACACTATGCTGATTTTTAATTGATGTTTCCAAGGTTTCTATGCCAAAATTTGCTGCTACTATTGGCCCACGCCATTTAGTCTACAACATACAACTCTTCTCTCATTTGTTCAATTTCGTCAAGCTTCATGGTTGCTTGGACCGTTTTTCCGTTTTCCCTATGAATCAGAGCTGGGGCATTTGAAGAACTATACACATGCGAAAAAATGTTCTTCTTCTGTTGTTGAATGTCGTATTTGGAAGTTGTTTTTCAGCCATTTACGCTGTTCTCATATTTGCGGACAACTCTGTTGGCATAGTGCATGAATCGTGGTTTGTACCGCCCGATTCAGTCATTTGGCCCTCTTGCACAACCAGCACTCTTTATGCCAACTCACTGAGCAGTACTCTACCAAAATGTCCACACAAGTCGTGCACGTACAAAGTGTATCTGCAGTGTAGTAAGTTCATTTTCAGTTAAAAATGTTCTGGAAACTTTTCCGGATGCACTGAGTGCTTAGCGGGAAGCCCTTGACTCAGGGCATACCTACTCTCCGGAGCAAAACGATGAACGGCTCGTACGTCAATGCAGCAGCAAACAGAATGTTTTCGTCAATCGTATTACGATGGTTGCAGTACAAAGAAACGACTGCCGTCTGATTTTACAGACGGGTCGGAGCGTGATTCCAGTGGTGACGCCACATTGTTTGCGAACATATTCATAAGCCCACCAACTCCAAAAGACTGTAGGTCCTCCCGCACCTACCAACTTTTCAATTTGTAATATGCTCACTTTCAGATGTACTAATCCGACTGCCACGATTAGTAGAAACATTCCTGTTCAAGACGCGCCATCCGTACCTGGTGATGCCCTTATTATATGTGGAGCGTACGTTTTATTTCATTACCACCATCTAGAATCCATCATCAGTTCCACGTATACAAAACTTCCCGCCGTGAGCGATCCCGAACCACGCAGTTCCACCCTGATCCTCAGGTTTACTCAACATTCCACGTACTTTATTTTCTAGGACTAACTCTCCAAATTCGAAGGCCAGCGTAATTTCCCCGGACCTGGCCAGCCATATTCTCACTGGGTAGATTACCATGTTTTAATTAAACTATTTTATAGAGAATTTAAAGAGGATTTACTCGTCGTTTCAAGGGCTGTACTTGAAGCTAGACGCTTTAGTACCCACTAGCAGTTCTGAGGCAGTCAACGAGCCCCTCTTCCGCTTTCACCCATGGATGATTTCCGAAAGTATGAAGAACATCGAAGAGATGGTCCACGCTATGCAAAGCTGGTAAGTATTAGTTGTAGTCACGATTGTTAATTTCACAAGCGTGGAAAGGTGGCTCTTGCAGGAGGCTGGCGGTGCACAAGTGTGCGTGACCAACGCGCTTACGCGGACGTTGGCACCAAACTTAGCCGAACTACTCAACTGTCGCGGAATAAATGAAAAAGAAGTCTTCGAGTCAACCAGGCTCGCCCAAGGACTTATTTGTAAGTAGTTAATTGTTATTCTATAGTTAGCTAGTTGAGTCAGTGTCTTGATGAAACTCAAAAACCTCAATAACTTCAATAACTTCGCTACAGACGCGACAACGGATAAGTTTCCGAACACAAATCTGCGACAAATAAAGGAAATCGTTCGTCGCTGGACGGAGCACGAACAGCGGAGTTTTCGGAACCGCCTGCAGAGAACAACCAAGACTGACAAATGATTTTCCTCGTGTATTTTTTGAAAACTCATTCATAAAAAAATTTGTACTTGAAGGCGCTTATTGATATCCGGAAAGGTAATACGCTGAGTAATTATGTGGGGGCAGATGAGTTATCACTTAGTGTTTAGGAAGTTACTGAGTCGTACCAGGTAAAGAGATGAATCCGTATAACGGGCTATGTTTCCGCGTCGGACGACTTTAGCTAAGTGCGGACTGGGTGCAGAAATTCCGGTACGGAGTACGCATTTTCCGCACCTGGATGCGGAAACGTCTGCACTATTTCCGCATCCGGGTACGGAGTGGGTGCGGAAATTTGTTTCATTTCCGCACAGAATCTGCACCTGGGTGCCGACATCCTTCTTGTTCACGCTATCGGGAGAGAGTAGTACTCCGGTAGCTGAATTTAGCAGCAAGCCTCAAGTACCCGTTTTTCAAAAGTGAACTATGGTAAATCGCTTAAGACACTAGCAGTAAGACCGATTTGGAATATGGAGTAGAGAGCCTGACCAGTTGGTTGAATGTGGGAAAGATGGGTGCCTTCGCGTAACAGCAAGGCCTGTGGTTATATCGACTCGGATGGTGGAAAGCCTTTTTACCACTGAAGTGACTGACACAATCGATTTCAAAGCAACCCAACTAATTACATTGACATTGGACTGTGGACCGTTCCCTTGGTTCTTAAACGTATAACGGTGTAACTAATGACTGTTCCAATAGACAATGCAAAATATCGAAAATTCCACTGAACACATACAGTTATTGCCACATCATTCGGGTGCGTCAGTGGATCATAATGAGCTTGGAAAATTCCAATCGGAAGACTTCTCATCGTCCGTAGTGAACAATAAACAGACGCTTGTCGGTGTATTATCAACTCAGCGTCTTGTTCCATACAAAGAGTAAGAGGTCTAAAATACATCCGTCGTTCTACACTAGGGTAACGCGCGCGCAGTATCCGATTCGCTGACGTACATTCCGAATGTGTGCTTCGTGGTACTCGCTAGTTCAGAAAGCAGTGGGCCTGTCAGCTACTAAAATTTGCATAAATTATTTTAATGCTCAAACCATGCTCTCGAACATCTTGGGACTACAAAATGAAATCATAGTATCCCTGTTTTTCATCAGAGCAAGACTTGTAACGAGAATATCTGAATATCTGAATACCTGAACATCTGACTGAATCATATAACTCAGCAAGATATTTCGCTGAAGACGTCGCAACTTTTTATTCTTTAAACTTTAATCGCACCATGAGTCTGTGGCGTGCTTATATCAAGCGTTTGCACCCGAGGAATTGTGAACTTTTGCCTCTCGCCGCCTAACAGAACTTTCACACTCGATTGGATGTTTAAACCTTCAGTGAAGCCAATCTGTCCTGAGAAACCGAGAAACATTGTAAAGATGTCCCAACTTTACTGAGAGTAGGGAGCAGATCGCTTCTTATCTCAGTAGAGCGTCGAACTGGCGACCTTCCGGCCAATGATTGATTACTTAGCCGTTTAACCACGGGGGCTTGACCATTGCCGTTTACTTAGCCACCTCGCAGCCTCACCCACCGTTCAATCACGGGAAACAACATCACGTGGCCACATATTGACTAGCTCCTCGAGTGATGAGTTCTCGGATGAGAACTTCAGTCATCGTGCAAATATATTATTGCCCTGAGGTACTTGTGAATGACTTACATAGATTTGAGTCAACATTATTCCATGGACCAGAAATATATCGATCACTGCTTGGTTATCCAAAAGATGACATGGAATAAGCCTGCATATCTAGCTGCCTGGACCAGCTGCCTTGCTAACCTTCGCCTGTGGAACCTGAAATCTCTAGGCAGCTTTTTGCGACCTAGAAATTCACTTTTCAAAGGTAATGAAATGCACCTGTCTGCTCAACAAATACACTATTCTCCATAACAGTCCGACTTTTCACAAGTGACCCAACTGATTTTATCCTTGGGAGTTTATGACTCACCATCTCACCATTCTTCATCACGTGAATATTTTCTGTCCTCCTTTTCACCTTCTCCTCCTGTTGATCCAGGGTACGCTTTTTCCGTTCTTTCCGGTTTGGAATAATGACAAAAGTAGTCTATGTGAAACAGACAGATATGCTTACGCAACTTTAACATGGTCTAATGTAGGCAAAACTAGTGGAGCCACCAGTAGGTTTATGGAAATTTGATTGGGCACTGATTACAACACTCCGCTCAGCAGCAACCGACGTACGAAATGACGAATACTACTGATGAATCACAGAGCAGTCCACTGTACCAGGACACTTTACACACACATGTTGAAGATTGGACGCTCTGGGACGATCACCATCATCACCATCATGAACATCATCATCAACACTACCGTCAACCCCGGTCTTCAACACGCACGCTTCCGTGCGTGCATTCAAATTTCATTTGAAGTCCCATTCAAAAGAGGAGAATTTACGGGTATGGGGAATTGACTTAGTGCTGAGCAACGGCAATGATTCCGATACACCTGCAGCCCCCGACATTCACTCAGGTGATCTAAATGGAAAATGAAAACAACAGCAGTAATATCGATAGGAACACTAACTTTGCAGCGTTTTAACCAGTGACAGTGGGGATCATGCGATCTCCATCTAGGAGCGCGTGTTATACTGATAGAACTCAGACTTTGGTATTCTCCCATATCTCTCTGCCAAGTCAGAGGCGAAACAGATCGGAAGGGCAAAGAGAAATGTTTGACATTCAACTAATGATTACATTATTTTGGGTCGACGGACAGTCGCTTTGCTGCATTTCCAAAAATGTTCTCAATGATTAAAAAGAAAGTTGGCGTTGGCAGTGCCGTGGGGAATGGCGTTGATGGTTGTGAATGTGACGGTGGCGGTGGCGGGAGCGTTGGATGGTCATTTTTCGCTTATCTGCAACCGTTTTGATAAAACTCACGTATTCCGAATCCGTAACCCAGGCACACGAGTATTCGGTCGCAAGAGATGAAGTAATTTGCTTGTCGTTACAAAAAACACTATTGTTTCATTCCTTTACTTTGGCTGAGATTGTTGCGTAGACTGTAATTTTCGGGGGTCGGAAAAGAGAACAAATGGATCACTATGACAAAATTGTGAAATAGTGAGTTATATTATGGACGAACTGATACTGTGGCTCGCAGAACTCGTGACGCTACGAGAATTCGGAAACTAACACACTAATCAGAGGGTCGCTGAAAAATATTCTGACAAAAATTCATTTTTTCACGTTTTTGGGTCAATAAGAAAGGCACAGTCCTCAAATTTGCTTCAATCATAATCAATTATTGGAGTCACTTCAGGCCGTCTAAATCACATCAGTATGGAGACATATAATATGTGCTAAAACCACATCAAAAGACACCAATGACGAAAATGACAATTGTATTTTACCTTATGTGTGATCCGTGGGAGCGTACTTATTATAAACGAGCCTAGGTCCACTCATAATTTGCAAATACGCTGTCCATCTGGGAATGCTGTTTGCTGCAGAGGGACCCAATTATAACAGGTGTTGCACATATGTTGCAGTGACTACTTCTAACCAGCTAAAAGTAGTTCAGCAACCGAAGTGATATTAGTTGATGAAGGTTGAACGTTTTGCTATCCGGCTAGAAGCTTCTTGTAGATGCCCTCGGGCTGTCTTCATTCAAGGACCACAGGAGGGCGCACATGAACCATGCTTGCGAATTCGTTTTGTTGTGCTGGCCAGTGCGGTATTTTACCATATGTGAGGGAAATTCTGGATGCTATATCAAAGGGCCTCACGAGTGCCAGGAAATGAGATTACGCTACTTACCTCCCACATATGAAGGAAGAATATCGTGGAACATAGAGCCAGAGTAACAAGCATCCATATAAAACACCAATTTGTTATACTTTTTGTTTGAATACATTTTGGCGAGGACTTCGTTCAATCCCATGGCAGTGAGCTGTAGCAAAGCACAAATAAAAAGAAAATCCGCATGAGATGGAACGACTATATCTGAACGAGTTCTGAGATTTTGGAGATACTTTCCATCATGATCAGTTGAAGGACTACGTTTGAATGCGTTTTGTTCCGTTCCCCTGAAGTTATAGCTTATTGCCTGTTGATTGTATTTACTTTATTAAATTTTCAGCGCCCCCGTATCCTCCGTAGTTCTAGCCAGCCAACCGGGTGGCATTTAGTTAGTCTCACTTGGATTTAGCACGCAAGAACCAATGTCTGAAATAATAAGCGCGTAATCAAAAATTCGAAATAATGACTTGCCGGTTTGTACGAACGGTTTACATATCAGTCCGAGTATCAATATCTCGACAGTTTTCAACCATTTCCAAATCTCATTCGCAGTGGTGGACGTAACTATGTTTGGTTACATATTATGAATCGCTACACCGATCAAAAGCCACCTGAATATGCTCAGTACAAAAAGTCCCTGTTGGGATGCATGTAGCAGCGTTGCGGCATAATTCATGTACTGCTCGTTGCGCAGTGTAGCGACTTCGTGTATGTCAAGCCAATCTGTGGGGATAATTCTAGCCCTAAACACGTTTGACGAACATTTAGGGTGACTTCCATTAAATTGAAGTATTCCAGATGCCATCTCCCTACTAACGCACTGTAATTAGTACTGAACGAACAATGATTCACACGGTGAATGGATTTGCTATATGTGTTGTCACTCCATGAATAATTCACCAGTGATGTAGTTTCATTGACTTAAGGATGGGCGACGTTATAGCCTGACTAACCGCGGATAAATCGAACATTCGGTTGCCCAGCCGTTGCCAAACGGTTATATTTTGCATCTGCAAAGCGCACCACAGGTGATTATAAATGAGGATGTAACAGTTATACATTGCTTGGCGGCTATCAACCATAGAATGCATTCTAATTCATAATGTACGAGGGCCAATTCATAGTCGCAATTCGTAGTGTTGTCTCTCTAGAACTAAACGCAGCATCTAGTCTTTGTATCACCTACAACGCAGGAGTGACCGTATACGACCAGCATCCTTGTTTATCGTATAACGCTTGCTCAAAAGTGTAAATGAATCAACCCCGAAATCATGTGAGGTGAACAACGTTGAACTTAGTAAAAACGAAATCTAAATACTGTTGCCAGTATAGCACCTTGACGCAGCCTACCAAACTTGACAGTGGGTGACGTCCGAACGCAGTAGCTTCTCTTCCGTCATTCTATAGATGTGTAGGCCTTCCATTACAGTGCTATTTGCACGGCCACATGAATATGGGAATGAAAATTGGACTATTGAAACGCCTGTTGGTTTGCTGTTGTTTCACGCATTATAGTGGCACATTTGGCTTTTAAAACACGCAGATGGTTGGAGCCAGTATTCCAATTCAGTTAGTTTTATCATTTGGCGTTCGAACGGTGACACTCAGTTCTTTCCAAATCGCGCTCTTGGCAGCATAAATAAATTTCTTAATGAAAACATCCTCATGTTGTATTCACTACTGAGAAACGATAGTATAACCAAGGTGAAACGAACCTACATTTCGAAAGAGACATTCACAAAGCCATATGCTCAGCTATTTTCTGATCCTGGTGGTCGGTTTGCAAATTTTCCGTCACCAACGGAAGTGATATCATGAGTGAGTGATTGAGTCCGCGGTAATTCCATATCTGCTCGATATTATGCTTTGATCGAGAGAGCGCTCATCTGTCCGCTGTATTCCCAGAATAGGCCCAACAACATATTCCGTTTGAAAATGTGGTTGCTGTATATGGTCTGCATTCCCTGAACTCAAGTGTTTTCTGTCTCAGCACCATTTGTTCATGGTCTGATTGATCGGTTACCGATCACTCTTGTGTAACGGTCTCCTTCCCCGCATTTGATTGGCTCTCAATGCGACTTGTGCGTTTGGTTTTTCATTTCGATTGATTCGTTCTGATTTCCTGTCGAGCTGTTGTCCGATTTTTCGGAGTTTGTTTGAGTGAATGCTCTTTCCGTTGATAACATCCTTTGCGTAATGCAAGGGACGTTATCACGCTTGACCACCTATCTATCTTTCTCTACCTAACAGACTGCTTGCGGGATCGAATCTCTGAATCGGTTAATACCCACAACGATCGGGTAGTCAAGGAGTGCACCGCCATTCCGAGTCCACATAATGTACAACTGACAATGGGAGATTTATGATATGCAAGCGAATAAAAGTTATCCTGGTTTCCTGGCTTGCATCTGTAAACCGACTGTTCACCTCCCGCCATATGCGAGTCAAGAAGCCGTGGAAAGATTCACGAAAGATGAACTGCGACTTGCCAATCGACATGGAACCCAAGGCGAGACAGGCACTCTAAGAGCTCAGATTGTTACCGGAGAATGGCGGCGATACGGATCTGAGGGGCTACTATGCAGCCAATTGACTGCACTGCAAATGAACATGGATTTCGACTATCCATTACTGAGGTTTGAGACAACACAGTCAGTCAAAATAAGACCTCAATCCGTGCAAACCACGGTCGACCCACCCCAATTTCCGCAAATCTGAAGAGATACCTGGTCATTCACAACCGCGCGTTACTGAATAATTTCGATCGATGCCTATGATATAATAGTAACCCACAGTCTGGAGGTTATAAACCGGGTTTCTCTTGGACTTTGCCTAAAGAGAATAAGCGCCACATGAATAGCGAGAATATTAACCACGCGCTTCACAAATGCGAAAACGCTGACTTGCACACTAGTATTCTGGCTGTGATCAGCAAGTGCATCAGTACCTCACGTTTTCACTGAAGGCTTACTTGCTAGGCCGCAAGCACAAGTGTGAACTCGGTCACGAGCTGCTTCACAATTCCCTATGACCTTATAACTAGTGTTCGTTCAAGCGAATTTACCGTTCTAGAATGCAGTAAAACCGGTTAGTCTGCTCTACGGTACTAATGTTTATCCATACGCAGAGTCATGTTACGTGCACCTTGTGATACACAGTGAACAAATTCATTTAATTTCTGAGCACGACCTGCTGTTTACGGTAGTCAATTACCACACCCTTGTAAGCATCGTCGTGCTCGTAGTCATGGAACTCTTTGTCTTGAAACGTGTTGCTGAAATAAAAAACGCGAATGCGCAGTTGGCCTGTCGCAAAAAAATACATGTACTTTGAATGGAAAGAAATGAAAACAATTGAAATTCTTTTGGAAGTTTGCTCCCGGTCTTGATATTGAATAAACTTTTACGACGATAAGTGCATCCTGTGTCCCACTTTCGATTAAGTGTAAACTGACGATCTTCATCGTAACACTGGTGTATAGATCCCACAAAGATCCGGGTAGGCAGACAACATAGACAATTACACATTATTGGGTGAAAAGGTAGTAGGTGTATTTAAATATACAGCCAAACACCACCAGTAACAGATTATATAAGGATACCCTCACCCAGTGTCCGTGAATGTTATTTGATCGGGCAGTAAACGACTTACGATTACTGAAAACTAGAAGCAAGCATTAAATGCAATGAACGGGTGGAAACTTCATGCTTTCTCTAGTGGCGCAAAAAAAAGTTTTCTCCAACCTCATTTCATTCACGATTTATATCCATAACATTTACGATGTAGAATGGGATATATTGAAGCCAAAGGGCGAGAAGCGATTTCTGCAGTCTAGTTACTATCAGACTAATAGACTAATTACTATCAGATGCGTGTACGTGGTATTTACTTTCGATTGTTTGCACTATCGTCGAAGGCGGTGGTGAATATATTCTTCGCTGGAATTTGCACCCAAGACGTGATAGGCTTGGAAAATTTCGCCTGAAGTGAAAACAAATGACAGTTAAGTTGCGGAATTTGAAAAAGGCAAGCATAGTGCTTAGGACTGCGCGCTTACAACTGACCCCATGTTACATCGGCGCGGCTGGTATCATCAACTCGGTTGCCTCGTCTGCAGTACAACGCGGGGTGAGTAAGCCGTAGCGGCTCTGTAATAATTTTTGTCCATCATTAACGTTTTCACTCTGAAATAAGCTGCGCTGCCCACAATTGTCGTTTTAACGAAATGTTTATTAAAATTCCATCACGGTTGCTGTACTGATCTCTTCATGAGTTTCCGCTTGCTCCCCATTGCGCCACTCTGGTGATCTGACAGCTGCTGCTGCTTGTTATACTGGGGCTTGTATTGTCCTGGATCGCTGAACCAAAGGCCTTCTCATTGATTGGCCTACTATATCGATGATGGACATTTACAACACCTTGTGGAAGAAACAGAACAAAAGCCCGTATATTGTTGTTGTTGTTGTTGAAGACATTAATGGCCAAGTGGGCAGACTTGGCGCATCCGCGATTTGTTTGGGTGGGTGCAGAACCAAAGTTGAAATTCACTGACCAAGGCACACCTTTACAAAAACCAACCGGCATTAGAGCCACACTACATCGAAATTAGCTATACGTGGCGTCGCTCGCAAGACAGCATCTGTGTAAACCCTGATCATAGGCATTTTCGGCGTTGAATAATCATGCACGATCACTCTACTTGAATGAGGAATACACCGCAGCTGACCGTTGGGAAACCTTTGAAGCCTAATGTTAAAAAAGCCTACCAGAACCACTATTGACGTCCCTACCGAACAAGCCGACATCTGATGCTAATTTCTACAAGGAAGGTTTGTCTGGAAGATGCTCATCATTTCGCTTGTGGAATGGTGCAACAAGCTAGATTCACCTCTTGAACTCAGCCAACGCTCATCATCATCATGATTGGCGGCAGCTTGACATTAGTGGTAACCGCTGTTGCTTCTCCATGTTACAAACGCAATTTATTTGAAAACTTTGCTATGAAATAAAACAATAAATGTAGACTACGACAAGACTTGTTGCTAGCTCGCTACAATCATTCTTACGCGCCCACATCTCGAAGCATTATTTTAGGCAAACTTTTGGGAGACTGACAACAAAGAAGCGAGTGACGTCAGTTAACACCCATATCCGGCAGCGTCACAAACTTGAGTTAGCTTCGATAAGGAAATCACGAATCTTCGAAGTTTACGAGTGATTTGAGGGCCTGGAATGAATGAAGTACATTTTTAAAATTTACACAAAAATATCTTCTATGCTCAAACTAGGGTTACATTAAATTTTATGTGCACCTATGGGTTCATTGTGCTTACCTGTCACCCAAATGATGAGTTACTGTGTGAGGTTTGTTCGTGAGGAGATCGCCACAGTTTTTTCATGCGGTTGCCGCGATTAGGGATGCACGTACGTCCACGCCAATATTGATACCCCGCAAGTTTGTCAATGAAGAGTTGAGCGAGGATCGCTCATGCAATGCAATGGATTCTGAATTCGAAAATTATCATTTGTTTTCCAGTCTCCGCTGAAAATGTGCTCTTGTTATCGGTTTTCGGTCGGTTGTTTTTGGAACACATTATGTTGGATCGTGGCAAAGCAAGAGAACTTAGGCTTATATGTGAAGTTTGAAGATAAAGGCGAATCTCATACACAAATCTGTGACATGCGGATCATGTTTCGAATTCTGGACCCGCATGGGTTGTAAGTGGCATTCCCCATTCTCAGAGGATATGTCAGTCTACCGTACGTTCTGTTTTGTGGTAGAGCTTTCAGACATGGCCACTGAAAGTAACTAACCGAAGACGCTTTTAATCCCTCGATCAGAAACGTGCATCTCAGAACCGAATCTGATGTAAATGGGTGTCTGTAAGCGCTAAACCACAAAGTTAGAAAAGAAGTGTTCGTGTGTGCAACAGAGACTTCCATCGATCAAGTGTGATTGTAAGAAATGAACTTCGAGAATTCTGTGAATGTCGATGTGAATATCCTTCCAGGATAAACAAAACCCCCTGACTATGTCAATGCGAGACCTTCTCTCGTTGCGGGCAAAAATAAGGATCCGAAAATATTGAGAAAACCTGGGGTGAACCAAATGATCTCGGAGACCGAATAATCAAATTAATATGCTTACTCACCTACTCTAGGAGGCTAAGTAGTTCATAGTGATTCAGTTGATGTTTCGATACCTAAGACCTATCATATTCACAGAATAATAGAACAACATCCACCCACAAGGCCTTCACGTACAAAATTAGTATTTCCTGCTTAAGAATGGCCGGAAAGTCTTCGAGGGAAATCAGAGCATTTCAACTGGGAAAACAGGAAACTGGATGTTTGCGGATTCTCTGAATCACTTCGGAAAAAGCTCTACCACTTCGTTCAATCATTCATCAGAAGACGGCTCGATGGTGGATGAGTGAATTTGCGGAACCTTTCAACAATTTCATCCTGGATGCAGCAACGTAGCATATACGAAGGTTAATAGGTACCGATCGATTTTGTGCTGTATTCGCCAGAATTCGGTTCGCTGTTATCATTCACATTGCGTTTTATCGCAGTCGGGAAAATATTTGCCATCCACAAATTTATTCCACCCAGGTTATCCAATTGACTTTGGCTTAGACCTGACTAACCTCTCAGTAGGTCAAATTAACAACATCCCTATTTAAAGATGAAAATTTGATCAAATTACCCCGACGAAACCCGGTATTTGCACATATACAATCCAAGTTAATGTCACGTTCAGTGTTAGACTCTAGATAGAATCGGATCCTCTTAGGATGTTTAAATTGCTATCGGATTCCACATCACCACTACGAACAGATGTGGTCAACTATATCTTGATGAGCAAACCTCGGAATATTTGCTGGAGATTTCTCCGAGCCAACTCCGCAAAACTCCAGGACGTTTCGCAATTCGGCATCATCATAAGGCTGTGGGATCTACGATCGTATTCCGGTCACGGTACTAAATATAGGAGGTAAAATTGATGAACAAGTTTCTAATCGTTAGCGGCGTCACGCACGTGTCAGTTTTAGCTGGTTTAGGATTTGCAGTGACGGTCGCGTGGTTGGTGGTATCTGGAGATTTTGAATATCAAATAATGTCACGGTTTCTTTGGAGTCCGTGACCACCGCAAACGAGATACGACGGAGACGGTACCGTACGAGGGAGCTCTGTAACTGCGTGGTGAATCTCGTGAGACAAGAACTATCAGAATCGGCTGCCGCATACCGCTGTCACCCCTGTTTCCCCAAAATTCAGATGTAACTTGACTTGCCGCCAGCGGTGAATCAGAATGGGGGCGGTTTTCCGGGAGCTACAGGATAATTGCAAAGGTGACTGAGATACTGTAACGATCAGCAGTGATCCAGACGTGCTGGTTACTATCCGCCGTTAGGTCGCTGTAACCCTTGAACCAGTCGACGCATCTAAACCACCAGGATATTCAGCAAAACACAGGAGAACGGGAAGAGCAACTTGAAGATGGGTAACCAACCGCTTTTACACTCGCTCATTTGGAAGGGTATATAGACGACTTCCCGATCGGATTTGTACGTGCCGCCACTAATATCAACAATTAAATATCCATCCCTTCCCGACAGCAGATGTCGTGAAGACAAACGAACCCTTCTAACTAGAGTGGTCATGAGGAAAAAAAATTCTAACTCAGGTTTATCCAAATTGGTTCCGTGTGTGTGCTTCAGAATTTCATTCAATCACCTCTAATCAGCTCCGTTTTTCATCTCTTCTCAATTGCCGGCGTACATGCTATAAGTGTGGCCATCTGTCTTGGGTCGGGGTGGTGTCGCCTGATGTCTTAAGGACATTTGTGGCACGACGGTATGACTGGCGGACAAAACATGCACTTTAAACTTGGCTTTCCGGACTGGGAACTGCTCTTCGAGCACCTGATTCCCCATTGGGATCTCCAATGTGGCTGCAGTTGTTTCTCAAGGTTTCGTTCAGTCGTCCCTCTTTGTTTCCGACGCTTGTCGACGGATTTCTGTCACTTCCTAAAAGGATTACAACCACCCACAAAGAATAAGTACTTACTTTCCTATCATTAGGTGAAAAATTTCATGGCTATCAAGGTTATAAACGGTAGGCATTCATTACGATGTTCAAAAATGTGTTCAGCCAGAATAACTCGTTCGTCCATGTGAAGATCACCTCTACATTGTCTTTGCACAATACGATATAACTGTGGGAGATCATGTGTAATGAGACGGTAGATGAAAATAATCCTCCAGACATAGTACCGTGCGAGGTTGGAAACGTTGACCCATTCCAGAAAGGAGTAGTCAAAATGCCAGTATCATGTATAAACGGCGGACCATCCGATCACTTTCCACATCACCACTACGAACAGATGTAGTCAACTTTATGTTGATGAGCAAACCTCGGAATATTTGTTGGAGATTTCTTCGAGCCGCCTCCGCAAAATCCGGGACGTTTCGCAATCCAACATCATCATAAGTCTGCGGCTGTGGGATCTACGATCGTATTCCGGTCACGGTACTAAATATAGGAGGTAAAATTGATGAACAAGTTTCTAATCGTTAGCGGCGTCACGCACGTGTCAGTTTTAGCTGGTTTAGGATTTGCAGTGACGGTCGCGTGGTTGGTGGTATCTGGAGATTTTGAATATCAAATAATGTCACGGTTTCTTTGGAGTCCGTGACCACCGCAAACGAGATACGACGGAGACGGTACCGTACGAGGGAGCTCTGTAACTGCGTGGTGAATCTCGTGAGACAAGAACTATCAGAATCGGCTGCCGCATACCGCTGTCACCCCTGTTTCCCCAAAATTCAGATGTAACTTGACTTGCCGCCAGCGGTGAATCAGAATGGGGGCGGTTTTCCGGGAGCTACGGGACAATTGCAAAGGTGACTGAGATACTGTAACGATCAGCAGTGATCCAGACGTGCTGGTTACTATCCGCCGTTAGGTCGCTGTAACCCTTGAACCAGTCGACGCATCTAAACCACCAGGATATTCAGCAAAACACAGGAGAACGGGAAGAGCAACTTGAAGATGGGTAACCAACCGCTTTTACACTCGCTCATTTGGAAGGGTATATAGACGACTTCCCGATCGGATTTGTACGTGCCGCCACTAATATCAACAATTAAATATCCATCCCTTCCCGACAGCAGATGTCGTGAAGACAAACGAACCCTTCTAACTAGAGTGTTCATGAAAAAAAAATTCTAACTCAGGTTTATCCAAATTGGTTCCGTGTGTGTGCTTCAGAATTTCATTCAATCACCTCTAATCAGCTCCGTTTTTCATCTCTTCTCAATTGCCGGCGTGCTAGCTATAAGTGTGGCCATCTGTCTTGGGTCGGGGTGGTGTCGCCTGATGTCTTAAGGACATTTGTGGCACGACGGTATGACGGACCAAAACCTCCGTTTTTCATCTCTTCTCAATTGCCGGCGTACATGCTATAAGTGTGGCCATCTGTCTTGGGTCGGGGTGGTGTCGCCTGATGTCTTAAGGACATTTGTGGCACGACGGTATGACTGGCGGACAAAACATGCACTTTAAACTTGGCTTTCCGGACTGGGAACTGCTCTTCGAGCACCTGATTCCCCATTGGGATCTCCAATGTGGCTGCAGTTGTTTCTCAAGGTTTCGTTCAGTCGTCCCTCTTTGTTTCCGACGCTTGTCGACGGATTTCTGTCACTTCCTAAAAGGATTACAACCACCCACAAAGAATAAGTACTTACTTTCCTATCATTAGGTGAAAAATTTCATGGCTATCAAGGTTATAAACGGTAGGCATTCATTACGATGTTCAAAAATGTGTTCAGCCAGAATAACTCGTTCGTCCATGTGAAGATCACCTCTACATTGTCTTTGCACAATACGATATAACTGTGGGAGATCATGTGTAATGAGACGGTAGATGAAAATAATCCTCCAGACATAGTACCGTGCGAGGTTGGAAACGTTGACCCATTCCAGAAAGGAGTAGTCAAAATGCCAGTATCATGTATAAACGGCGGACCATCCGATCACTAATTTGGCGCACTAACCACTGAGCTATATCGCACTCTGTAGTGACAGTGCTCTCGCACCAATAGAGGGCAACTAATGGTTCTAACATGACTTTCGTTGAAGAGGCAACAACATGGCGGGGATCGAGTTGCATGATTCTCAAATGTGGATTTGTAGCAGGTTAGTCAGGGAGAATTGCACGTT